CTGTCTAATCCCACGTCGTGGTCAACTCGGAGGCAGCAAAAGGCAATGTTTGTGACTGTTTATCACTGTAAAGAGACTCGCAAAGCCGAAGTCTAAACTTTGGGTTACTCCAGTTTGCATCTAGACTGGTAAATTCCCAACTCTGTGCAAAGGGCAATCGTGCTGAATCAAACATAACTTTAAAAGACACCCTAAATAAGAACACAAATTTCATGTTGTGGATGGTAAAAAGAGAGGGAAGAAGGCAAAATAAGTTTCTCTTAAATAGAAGAGATAAAGGTGGCAGGAGATAAAAGGTCAGACTAGGTGGTCTAAAGGTCCTGCTAACCCTAGGCTCAGTGAAAGATACAGAAAAGCAAACACTTGGTCTCAGAAAGATTTCTCACACAAAGAAAGTCTTGAAAAAAAGAGCAGTGCCTATCTTTTCAGAAAAGAACAAGCTATTAAAGTAATACTCATATCCTGCGAGGATAAATGTATGATGAACCACACAGTCAAATATACATTGTGATACCGTGGGTCACTTCCCTTCCTTTTTCAAACAGCAATGTACACTCACATTCCAGAGATTCCCTTAGAAAAAGGTACTGCAACTTTTCTGCCATAGCAAACTACAGTAATACCAGATGTTACCAAAAAACACCCTTAAAGGAATAAACAGATCAGAAAAACAAAACTAACAATGTGCCATAAGATTCGTAACATTAGGTTGACTTTAAAAAATAGACTAATACATTCAAAGGTCACTAAAATATTTATATTAATGATGGAGCAGAACACTAAGCAGATATTGACTTCTGTTAAGGTGAACCTCAAGATTTATTGGCCTAAGAGGTAAACATTGACTGAGATAAATCCAAGGTCAATATTTACTACCAAGGACAATAAATCTTGACGGCCTACAAAACATTAATAAATGTGTGTGTGTGTATACACAGAAGTGTATCTACATACATTTATATGAATTATTAGGAGAAATGATCAACATGATTTTTAAAGTAGAATATCTTAATTATGCTAGAAAGAAGCAATGACAATTATGAACGAGTGTTGGATGCAACTACCTGCATGTGTCAGCACCGATGATATCTAAGGGCAACATTACTGCTTCTCCAAGGGATTCTCTTTGCTTAGGGAGCAAGGGGAGACATTTGTAAGGTACAAAGGGACATCAGGACCCTGAGTGTCTCTGAAGACAGCTGCCCCCATTTCCATCTTTGCTTGAGAAAAATAGCATTACATAAAGCAAAATCACCCAAATAACGGTCCAGCTCTAGAAAAAATAGCTCAGCATCTCATCAGCAAGAAACATTTTACAGACTTATTCTGACAGAGCATGAAGATCACTGGCACAGAGCATTCCTGAACTCCGTGTGGCTTCATCTAAGGTCAAGTTTCTTCCTATAGAAGACAAGCGCTGGAAGGGCACACGTGGCTATTCTGGAAGTGTTTTAATAAGAGCACAGTTCTGCTTCCATAGTAGCCATGGTCAGTTTTGTATGTGCTGAGAACAAAGACTAATCAATCAAACCCAACAAAATAAATAAATAAAGGCAGAGGATGACTGTCAGAGTTATAGGCCTTTTCCTTGAACTAGAAAAGCAAATAAATTTAACAGGGGTGCTGACAAAAGTAGACCTTCTTCCTCCAAACAGTATACGAGATCTAAGCCGAAAGGAAACAGATGACTTGGTCTGTTTGTAGGAAGTGATTAGAGAGGATAGAACTTAATTTATTAAGATGGGAGACGGTGATTCCTATGTTGACTTTTCAGGTCAAGCGTTAAAACCTTCTGCAAATAAGGTAGTAGATACGCTACAACTAAGCCCTAATGGTTCAAGAGATGAGGCTTTTTTGGATATTATGGGTTTTTCTTGTTCGTTAGGCAATTGTTTCAGAAAGGCAAACCTGAGAAGCGTGCAATCCTTACCCGTGCCTCCTGGGGGCCTCCACTTTGAAAGCTGTGAACCCTGGGCTGCACAAATGCCTTTAGAATAACCTGATATCTGTCTACTCTGCCTGTAGAACACCATCTACCTACTCTCCTACTGCAGGACAACACTAAACTCAAAAGGGGCACCTTACACATTACTTTTGAGTTTCTGCTATGCACCCAATGGGTAACAAAAAGAACAGAGGCAGGAAAAAAAAAAAAAAAAAAAAGGAGTAAAAGGCAGAACAAAGTCCTTTTAAAGAATTTCATTCATCTCTCGGCGTGACAGCGCTCGGGGCCGAGCGCGGGGCTCCGCAGACAGCGCGGCCTGCCCAGCTTGCAGGAAGGAAGAGCGATTACAAGAGGCGGGCAGGAAAGGGCCTGTTAGCACCGCTACCTTTAACTTCATCTTTAATCTGCTTCTATGCCTCCGACCTGTCACCGCAGACATTAATCACTTTATAGGCCTTATAGCTGTCTCAGGCTCATTTATATTATTTGTTTTAATGGCCTCCCTTATGTCACTGGTTTTCTGTGGGATAGTTCGGCCTTAATTTCCTGTTTACTGTTCTGCTCTATCAAAGTGATGTGGTTTATTTTTGCACAGGTTTCCTAAGGCTACATTATAGCCACTGGTTGCAGTGATCGTATCACAGTTGACCTCTACAGAGAGCACTGCAAAACAACCCGGGAAATATCGTTCCAAATATTTGAGAAGTCTCTGAAGTCTCATTAATGCGAGCACTTTATATTTCATTAAATTTTACGAAAGTTCTCAGTAATTCAAAGAATGTCACAATGGTTTGCAGTCTTTAGCAGGATTTATATCTTAGCTTGCAAAGAGAAGTGATTTTCAAGCATACAAGAACTGGAACATGGAAGGAAGATAATAAACTAACAAGCATAAAGACAAAATGTCTCTGCGGTCTCTCTTCTAGAGCCAGAGGAGATCTCGTGCTAAGTGCTCTCTCGACAGACAGAATTGCTATATAAAACTCATAGCCAAGATTTTCAAATTTCAAAGCCAAAAATCCAGATTTGGGTCTGCAGAAGCACTGGTAATTCCAGAACAGGCCCGTACAGGAAAATATAATGTCAATATAGTTATTTAATGAGCACAGCTTTGCAGTGCTGGGCTAAACCGCTACTGTCCCCGTGGTGGGAATGTCAGGGCCAGAAAACACCACTCCTGAGGGGTTCTAAAAATCAGAGGGGAGTTTATTTCTTGCAAAGTATTTCCCTCTGTGAGGATGCTCCCAAAAGGGGCTGTCACTGAGCACTGATAACTGCAATACTCGGAATATCTCAACCAGAACATTTTCAAAGTCCCTCAAAGTCTTCCCTTAATCTACATTCTTTTGGCTGGTGTCCATAATAGGAGCAATAGGAGTCCATAATGCATTATGGACTCCTATTGCATTGAAATATATATTTTATACTGTGAGCTCCACAGGTATTTATTTCACAAATACTTAAAAATATAAAATAACAAAGAAATAAGTTGGAAGGTTTCAAATAACATCTTAAGAAAAGTAGTAACTCAGTGACCTGCCTCAAGGATGACAAATGGAAAAGCAGAGTCTTCATTCAGTTTAATTTTTTAAAATTAGAAACAGGGATTTAAATTGCAATTTTTAAAGATAGTTTTCTACTGAATTAATTTCTACCTCACTTTTTTTAATAGGATGAGACTAACCCAGTAGTTAGTTTTCATGAAGGTAAAAATTGAATCTTTTGGACATCCCCCCCAGTCTGAAATTCTTATTCAGAATGGTTCATGCAGGTAATAGCTTTTCTGATTTGAACTAACAAATGTATTGCTACTGTCTGACCTTTTATTAATCTTCAAAGAAAGACTCAGCTAAAATGCACTTTGTTCATTTTCTCAAATGGCTCTATACGCACAGGTTACCTTGGCATGCCGTGAGGCTATAGATTGTCCATTAGCCTAACTTCAGTTCTGAAAAGCTTAAAAACAAATTTTCAAAGAAAGAATAATCAATGTCATAGAGGTAACTGCAAAATGAGACACGGTGCAATATTTGTTTACTCCCTTTATTTGGTAAGATAATTGTATTCTAGACAAAATAAATCAATCACAAATTGATTCTTCAAAGAAGCATGTTTAGTGCTGCGAGATAAATTGCTGCTTAAAATGGGAAAGGAAGAAAACTACAAGGTATGTAAGGCAAAGATTTAAGGGGGATTAGCAACAGTTTATATTGGAAATAGAAAAACAAGACCAGAAGTGATTTTAATAAAAATACTTCAAGAACCAGTCTGAAGAACTGAAGATGCAGTGTTGGGAGGTATTGCAAGACTAAAAAACATGGATGATTTTGATGATTGCAGTAACAAAAATGGAACAAAATTCAATAATCTTTCATGTTGAAGTCGCAACAACAATTTCTGATTTACTCTGAGAATTTAATCACTGCATGACTGTAAACCAGCTTTGTCAAGTGTCTGGGAAGAAAGGAAACCATGCAGTACCAGTATAAACTGAGTCACTTCCATTAGAGCAAGGGAAGTATTACTGTAAAAAACGCTTCTGCAGATGATTTAGTCACCTCTGCACAAAACAAGAGATCTGTCTGAATGATTGAGAAGTATAGAAAGGTATTCTGGTTTAATTAGCAAAATGGAGACCCTATCTTTTATAAGGGAAGATAAGAGTTTGAATTATTTATTACTAAAATAAAGTAAATGATACCATTGTAGTTTATAAATACTTTGGGATGGGAGGCAAGAATAGGGGTAAATGTCAGAGCTGAAAAAGAGCTATTTTAACTAATGGACAATGAGGGCATGAAGAATCAACACATATAAACATTTCATCTGGAAAGGAGATGATCTCTTGCCATGGGAACAGTAATGTTATGGAGCAGCATTCCAACAACTGCAGCCCAATAAACTGGGGAATATAAAAATATCTTCATTTAGGTTATCCAAGGGATAATGTGACTTGGTTTTCTACAGTATCAGATGACCGAACTCAATGATTCAAGGGAGCCTTTCAGACCATATTCCTAAGGACAAGAGAAAAAAAAAAAAGAAAAAAGAAAAAAAAAAGTTTCCTAACAGGGCAATGAAGAGTAAAACAAGTGCAGGATAAGTCAGAGAAGACGCAGTGAATTCTGACAGCCCACTCTCATAACAGAGATGAAATAGCTGGAAACATCATCAGATTCGTTCCTCTCAACTTTTAGAAGATGAGAGGCAATGCCAAACACTCAAAACAATAACGTCTTGCCTTTATAAACAACTCTTAGTATCACTGGATATAAAACAGAGACTTGGACATCTGCTGAGCATGCCTATTGGATTGGCATCAGAGCTCTCCGCCTGGCTCGCGTGGAAGGCTGTGGGGTCAGGAATGAGACACGCTGTTCTTCAAAAACAATCTCCCATTTTGCCACTAGTAGCTTTCAGAGTCCATCTCCCATATATCTGAAGTCTGTTTAATTTCACCTGATTTAGATTTTTTTCCTAGTGTCCTCTAGATTTCAGCTGCAAATTAGGGCTGGAGAATCCATCCCTGTGCATATGTTGTGCTGAATTACTGACTCTCAGGAGATGTGTGAAGTTCGGCTCCTTGGCACCCCCATGGGTATTACTGTATGTCCTGGTACACGCTAGGAACAGATCGTCTATGACTACTGTAAAAAAAATCATTATTACAGATGTAGCTTGGGACTGCCTTCCCTACTGCTCTACCATGCATCCTTTTCTAGCCCTTAATCTATCTGTTAATAAATGCTATTTTTAAACTGCAGCAGCCCTCTCCCTACTTTGCACATTCAGAGCGGAGATGAAGCCAGCCTTCATCCAGGCAAACATGCCATCTGGACAGGGACACACAGGAACTGGAGAAGGTCAGTAGCTAAGGACCAGCAAGAAAAAAAGATGTAAACTCCAAGCACTGCTAACATTTTGCTTTAACTGCTAGAATTTTCCCCTTATTCCTCTGCCCTTGTCAGGGGACAACACTATTTGCCATGGGCCAGAATCATGCTGGATAAAATCCAAAGTGCACCAGTACCACCTGCCAAAAAGTGTTTCTCCAGCTTCAGCTAATGGGATAATTTAAGGCAAAATGCAGTTGTGGATGGATCCAGTACCTGGGCAAGCGCTGGGCCACTCTGCTGGGCCCCGAGGGAAAACAAGAGTTGGGGCACTGGGCTAGATCACTAACAGCGAGCTGGGGGCTTGGAAGAAAGGTGGAGGAAATCCGAGGACTCCTTATTTCTTCCTCTCGCTGGTCTGACGACAGGACAGAAATGACGACAGGACAGAAATGACGACAGGACAGAAATGACGACGTGTAGAGGAGTGTGAGCTCTTCGAACCCAAACATTTCAACCATCCCTAAATATGGTCACAAGATTTTAGATACTTGGCTTACTCTTAAAGAGTTAGACTCTGAATTATCTCCAACTGTGTAGGCTGTAAAAGAAAATGCATAAACCAGTAATTCTTGAAACTCCCTAGAAACACACTCACCGCCAGATTTTTTTTTTTTTTTTTGGTAGCTGTTATATTAATCAGTGTTTTAAAAAATTAGAATGTTCTATGATAATTTCTCTTCCAAATCTAATAAGCAATGCTTTGCAATTAACTTCAACTCACTCTCCTTAATGTCATTATCTACCAGCTAGAGCTTTGAGATACACCAATGAAAAATGCCTAAGTTACAGCACTATGTATATGAACTGTCTTCTTTTTTTTCAATGAGCAGTCAGTAGTTAGCAAACAGCAGTATTTCAGTGGCATCTTGGTTACTCTCTTAACTGAAATGGAAAAAAATGTGGAAAGATCAGCTGTTCTCAAAAATATTGCCAAAAAAACTTATTTAAGGGTTTTTGGCTGAACCTGAACTCAAAATATTTTCCAGCACCTGGCCTTCAACCAAAACTCAAAGGATTCAACCCAGATTTCATGCTTCAGTTTTATATCTTATCAGATACTCCTATACAAATTCATCTTTTAAAGTGACTTATACGCACATGTGTATAAATGTAAACATAAACACAGCAAGCATGACAACACAAGTCACAACCATCTACTGGTTTCTTGTACATCTTTCCATCAAGCTACAGATTTTACAGTCAGGATAAATTCTCCTGAGACTTAACACAGTCAGATATTGTTAATGAATATTGACTTACATCCATAAAGAACTTCCACTTCTGCCTTAATCTTCTATCTGATCCATTAGCAGCAGCTAAGTGATGACTTGATCAAGTGCTTTCTACAGACTGTTCAATAGTGCTCAAAAGGACTTAGATCACAGGGGAAAGAAGAAAACATGCAGTTAATATATCTCAGTATTTTCACCATCAGGAGATCAAAATTGGAATTACTGTAAAGAATACTGCTTATGATAAAAACAAAACTTAAGTACTTATGTACTCTAAAGTTCCTGTAATTAAAAAAAATGGTCAATTATTTTACTGAGAGGTGGTATGGAGAACACAAAGGTCATGTGGAAACGCATGGGGGCAAGGTTTATACAAGGGAATTCTGCAGCGTCCAGCTGACTCCGCAACCCCTCCGTACTGCAAAGAGGGAACGATCCCCGCTTACAAAAAGCCACAGAGTAAACGTTAGTAGCTGCTGCACTGGTTTCACCACACTTATCTTCTTCAGCTCTACCTTCTCCTGAGGTACTTCTGGGCTAACTAAATGCACAACTGCAACAAAGACATTAAATAAAACACAAATTCACTTCCCAAATATTAAGCACAAAAAGGATTTAAGATATCCCCTTACCATTTTTTCCCTATTAAAGAACAGCCTGATGAGCACAGAATACTTTGTGCCTCAGTACCTAGAAGTTTCAGCAATATTTGGCTAAGAAAAAGCAAGCTAAATGGAGGAAGGGTTTGAGCACCTCCCTGGGCTGCGCCCCAGCACAATGGGAAGGGGATGGAAGCAGCCCTGGCACCACCTGGAGCTGCTCTTTTCCTTCCTCTGTGTAGCACCTCTGCACAAACACTACACCCACGCACCCTTCCGAGGAGCTTCAGAATAAATCTGTATCTTGACAGCTTTAAGCCCAGCCAGCTTGAAGCCTCAGCCAAAGTGCTTATGAGAGGTACCCCAGGTATATAATAGATCATGAGGGGTTAGCCGAGACAAAGGCTTAAGTAATAGCACACTTAAGGAACACTGTAAGATGGATACACAATCAAAATCTATAGGGGACTAGCTTATCCTCTCACTCCCGTGGTTGTAAATATTAAGAAAATCTACTGAAACACAGGCAGCGATGCTGGATGTTTCTCCCTCACAAAATACACAGCTAGGGAGACCTTTAAAGTCGGTTGTTGCCCGCTGTGCTGGCCAACAGGCAGAGGAGCCAAGACAAATTGCAATATGGAAAGGTCTGCGAGAGACAGGGCTCTTCTTGTGCTAGTTTCTCTCCCATGTTACGCAAGTCGACAACTTTGTAAAGCAGACTTCTGTTTAAACATCAAAATGCAGGCTTGCATTGTTTCCCATGCACAATTAAAGTTTCAAGTAATTTGTATACTTATGGCCATCAAAAATGCCACCTTAGGGATTTGGTCTTTTTTTTTTTTCCCCTCCACGACTCGTGTTTTCTTTGTTACGTGATACTTCTCCTTTTTAATAACCTTGAACACAGTGACCCCAGGTGGCAGATGCCACCACGGCTGCTTCCCAAAGCACAGCCAAACCTGCGTGGGTCAGGAACAGGCTGCGAAGAGGGCCCGTGTCCTCACCAGGAGGCCCCAGGACAGGACAGCTCCACAGAATCCGCACGGATCAGAGCGGTCAGCCTGACAAGGGTTAGGTTTCCTAGCCACCATTTCCTGCTGGTTTACAGAAGCTCTTCTAATAGAGGAGCACTGAAAAGGTTCCAACAGCACCAGGTGAAGGATTCTCCACCTCACACACCATGAAGGATTCTCCATTTCCTGGATTTTAATGGGATTCAGGTTTCTTCAGCCACTCTCCCAACTTCAGCCTCCCCAGGTCAACGTGCCAAGTACCCCAGCAACTCAATATTTTTCCTCACTTTCCTGCTTGGAAAACTAGGTAACTGCATGAAGCTTGCATTCTGTGACCAACAGCAACATCACTTAAAGCATCATACACCCATGCAACAAACAAAGCCCAAAATCAACAGTATATGGGCAACTCCCAGGAGCTTTTCCTTTATAAAAATCTTAAAAACCTTTTTCATTTCTCAGGTAGGCTGGCCTACCTAAGAGTCATCTTCTCCAGGCTGGTGCAAGTCCCAAGCCTCCAGCAGCCAGGGCATAAGGCTCTGCCCTCAGCACCACTCCAAAAGAAAGCACCAGGACTCAGAACTGGGCTAAAACAAGCTAATTTGTGGGGGAGAGGAGATTTTTTTTTTCAAGCCATTCACTAAATAAAAAAGCTGGCTATCATTGTTTAATACTCACATCTTTGATTGGTATCAATTAGCTATTGCAGCTGTGTGAAATGGTAATTAATGTCACATGTGAGTTTTACTCTTGAGCCAAACTGCCTCCAAGAGGGAAGGAAGTGCTGGGTATCCTGACGTCTTCCCACTTTGCTCACTGATGGAGTGGAAAGTGTTATCTGCTGGCACCACAATAGTCCTGTCATCGCTTGAGGGGGTCACTACGGCACCAAAACAAAGCAGCAAAATACATAAAACTGTTAAATAAGAAATGTGAAGATCTTCAGCAGACATAACTCTAAGTAAACTTTGCACAAACTATTTACCATTTCACCCCCAGGCATTAAGAATGTGCTCCAGAGTGTAGGAATGATGCAGCTCTATTTCCTTTTTTTTGCTGTATCTCTCACGTCTTAACCCAATTTATAAAGCCAAGCATAAGAAGGAAGAAAGGAACTCTACCTATTAGAGCTATTTGCAGAATCCCCATACTTCTCACACAATTAAACCTTGTTTTCCATTGAAAAAACCTTTGAAAATGCAACTATTCTAAATATAGATCATTTGCATTCACAATAAATGAATTTGGCGGGCAATCTTTTAATAGGAGTTGATACAAAAGAAACCTAAATTTCATGGCATAATGATTCATAGCCCAGGTGATTAAAAACAATCTGTACTGAACAAATCGAAGTGAAGATCAGATTTCCAGTGCTAAATTCGGTTAAAACCCTAAGCCATAAGAAGAAGGAAGAAGAGGTTTAAGCCCCCAATGCCTCAACATGCTGCCTGAATAGCTTTACTTCAGCTGTATTTTGGTAGCAAAAGTCTTGACGTTTCAGGGTAAACTGACTGACATTCCCAAGGACAGTTTTGACTAGGAAGGGCTGTTCCTGCAAAGTGCTGCAAAGCTCTCGTCAACCCGTCAAGGAATCAAGCTGCGTGTTCTAATCATAGAACAATAAACTGATATTCTTAGAAATAAGTTCTAATCAAAATACAGGATTTAGCAAGTGGAAGAGGAAACGTGACATGTGGCATACCATTAAGGAACAGCAAGTAAACTTGCATAAAGCATAATTATGCCAAATTACTATTTTAAATCAAGCTTCTAAAAGCGATGAAAAATCTGCATTGAAAAATCTGCAACCATGCTGCAGAAAGCAGCTGTAAAGGGAGCACAGGTCAAATGTAGTGACGAAACTGTCAGGACCTGGCATCACGGCACCACTGCACTGTTCTGCACATCAAATCCAACCCAGCACCAGGAAGGTTCAGTTGGCTGTTCTGGGAATTACTGGCCTGTCGAAAGGCCACAGTCTGCCCTGGGCTATGAGAAAGTAATTCCCATTCACCTCGTAAGATCACGATGTGCCTCTGTTAGGAAAGGGCTTGGACCAAAGTTCATCTATTGGAGAAAGAATGGAAGAAAACTGAACATTTCAAACGCAGCATTAAAGACATCTTATGAATCTTTTAAATAAAAAAAAAAAAATACATATATTATCAGAAAATATGTAAATATATTGTTTTGCCTCTATTGGCTCTCCCCGTTTTTTTAAATCCTTAGACAACGGATTTCTCATTATGAATCTCAGAAAATACCAGACATGCTAAAAAACAAGATGTGGAAATAGTCTTAATGAAAAAAAACCTTGGTGTTTCACTGAAAGCAGGAGGGCTGGATGTCAGGAGGTCACAGGCATTAGGCTAACTGGAAATACAGAAGAGACTATCGGGACTGTAATGTGCCTTCCTACTAACAAGAATTAAAACTTGTGCAGTTTACTCTGCTTACCTCAATTACTGCGTCTGGAAAATAACTCTATTTTTGTTGGCTTTTTCTTTTTCCAGGATATTCATTCATTCACGTTAGCAAAGCACTTTAAAATCCTCTGGGATCATCATAAAATCTACTTTTTTAAGCCTATCACCTCCACAAACAGAAGAATAAACTAAACTTGATCCTGCAAACAGTGATCACAGTAGCAAATTTGGATGTTGCAGAATCAGGGCCTAAACGCTTAATACAGGACACGCGAAAGAAGATTATATGTGATCAGCAGAAGAATTTTTCTCCTTCTAAGAAGGCACCAGTAAGCCCAAGCTTGGAAATACTGCAGCAAATGACTTAAGGAACACGTGTCACCAAGCACAGTTCTTCGTGCAAGGAAAAGCTCCCACGGAGCTGGGAGACACCAGGATGCTGAGCCAGGATCCTGCGAAGCCCCGGAGCGGGCTCGGGTACCTCTGCCCAGCGGCTTCAGCGTCTACCTTGGTGGCAGCACCAGCCCCCATGGGCAGCAGCAGAAGTCAACCGATGAGCAGATGTTAAAGCAACAGCCTTCATGGTACTAACCCATATTACAGAATTTCAGAGACTCCTGAGTAACAGCTACTGATTAGTAATTGAACTGAAGCAATAGTTTAGAAAGATACCCAATACATGCCTATTCTTGCATCCAAAAATCACACTCAGGCCCCAACTTGTAATAGCCTGTCTTTAAGCTGCATTTTCAAGTGTTTTATTCAAAGGAGAAGAGTCCTGACTTTAAGTGAAATAAAAGTTTGTGTCTTTGTATGTTGCCATGTTTGAAAAAACTCACAATATTTTGGAGCAGTAGAGAAAACTCTGTAAAAGCTAGCAACAGTGGAGAGCCAAGCCTGATCTGAAGACTTCAAGCAGTGGAAAATCAGCCACATCCAGAGGTAATTTAGATTATGGATCAGTTCCCTGATTACTTTAAGAAGCAAAAACTAAACTTTTCCAATCTGAATTTGCCCGGCTTCAGCCACCACCTTTGGATCCCACATGCTTCTGTCTGTTAAAGGGACCTCTGCTATCACCTATATTTTCTCTTCTAGACCATGATTAAGTTACATTTTATTCTGCTTTGCAAGGCTAAATAAACTCCGTGCACACAAAACTGGAATGATGCTAAGTGCCTTAAAATAGTATCTGATGCTGCTTCCCATTCCAGTACGCCCTGTTCTATTTTCTAATTAATGCACGATGCAGAGGAGCTTGTTACACCTTTCTAATGGAAATTTCATTAGTCAGCAAACATGTTTTCATATGGCTTATGAAGTGGAATTTGAGTAAGTAAAAGAATTAAAATCCCTGCAGAGAGAGTTTTTGGTATTTTTTCTGAAAATGAAAGGCAAAATGAAAAACAAATTCTGTTTTCTGTCATTCTTTATTAAAAAAAAAAAAAAAAAAAAAAGATTTCTTGAGTTCAACAAGGAACATATTGTGTTCTTTGTCCCAGGATGATAGCAGAAGAAAAACAGAGAAAAGGAACCTGATGGTGCCAAAGGGTTAATGTATTCCAGTTTGGTCAGTCTGAATAAGTGAATTTAGCAGCTGACAGTGCATGGTGTGACAGTCTCTTACAGCTGTTCCAATTGATTCAAAGACCATCTTTGTTTCTTGCAATCTTAGCAACTGTTACTTTTTTCCAAAGACAATGAGAGACCAGCTGTTACCTCACAAGATGCAATGTACTTCAGGTCAAAGTCTTTAGCAAGGAACTTGTAAAACAAGAACTAAACCATTGTTTGGGTTTGTCAGATTTTTTTTTCTTTAAAACAGATTTAGGAGCCTAACAGTCAAATTAACTTACACTCAGTATTTCCACTAATGCACTGGAATGAGAAAGAAATTTCATCTGGCTGCTAATCTGAACCTTCTATTTCAGTAAGGAGAAAAAAAAAATAAATGTGACAGTATTATAGAATATTTTTGGTTAATAGGTCAGTCTCCTCCTTTCCAAAGGTAGTGCTGCTAGGCAGATGTCATCTTGCAAGATGAATCTATAGGTCTAAACATTCAGAATGTAAGCTGGGGATTTTTGAAAGAGTTTTGAAAGGAGTTAAATCTCCACTTCCCACTAGGTATCAATCCGTGTGAATTCCTCGTTTCTTTAAGCTCTTTGAAGACACTATTCTAAATGCATAACTGAGCAACTTAGTCATACAGTTGATCCTCCAGCCCCAGTACTGGTAATACTCCCACCTGAAGACATGTAGGCTTTGGAAGATGTAGAAAGTTGCAGACTCAGTCACCTAATCAAGACTTATTAGAGTAGGAGTAACTGTTGACAGGTTATCTACAACCTTTCTGAAAACAAAAAGGTAAGCATCACTTTGAAGGGCTTTAGTTGAAATAAACCATTGTTCTTCCATGCACAAAGACAAATTATTGCTCCCTACAAGCTCCTAGCTGTTCTGCTGCAGAAGACAAAAACTTGCCGAGTGGATCCTCCTTTATTCAACCTTTGTGTTTAATTCTGGAATGTCTTAACATTGAGAAATACATTTTCAGAACCATTGCCAGCTAACTGTTGTGTAAAGAAGCCCACAAAGGCACAGTGATACATACTGCACCTTTGGAAAGATCTATAACGGCTGTTGAATTCAGCAGTAAGTAGTCTTTTTTTTTTTTTTTTTTTTTTTTTTTTTTTTTTTTTTTTTTTTTTTTTTTTTACCTATGTAAAGACAAAGATAAGTTTAGACTCAAGATTTCTTCAGGTGTATGCAAGACTCTTATTTGCCTCAGGCCATTTATTCTACATGTAGAAAGGAATTAGCTAAGTTATTTCTCCACCTTAACCCTCTTTTCATAATGGATGATATATTCCCATATGTAAGCCACCATTTCAAACAGATGTAAAAATACTTCCCATCAGGACTGGCGCCATTAGTATTTTTGATAATGAATATACACAGCCTAACAAAACACTGAGGGTAAATCACAACCTCTAAATTCTACGAGCCGACTGCATTTGTTTCTGAAGATAAAAAATATCCCTAACACACATGTGCATGTTTATAGTTATGCTTAAGAGAATAACCCATCACTAGGCCAAAATTCTGACATCACAAAAGCATTTCTTGCACAAAATGTGTACGTTGTCAGCCTGCTGC